GTAAATGACTGTAAGCTCAGAGTTTGATTCCCTTCCATGCAGGTGCGTCTCCATATGATGTGTGCCAACCACCCGAACATAGTGCAAATCCTGGAGGTTTACGCCAACAGTGTGCAGTTCCCACACGAGTCCAGCCCAAGGTAAAGAGCTCTGTGTGTGTTTTTTAAACTGCCTCAATCCATCTCCTCTCTTTTGCTGTTTCCTCTGACCGTCAGAACCTCTTGTTTTTTTCACAGAGCAAGGCTCCTGATTGTTATGGAGATGATGGAGGGTGGCGAGCTGTTCCACAGAATCAGTCAGCACAGGCACTTTACTGAAAAGATGGCCAGCCAGGTCACTGAACAGGTTTGTGAAGATGCACACAGTCACAAACACATACCCCAGCACACAAGGCTGTTTTTAGCTCTCTGAATGTAATTCTTTAGATATTTAACTGTGGTCAGTCAGTCTTTGTCCACTAGTGTCTGTCTGCGTGTTTCTTTGTGTGAAACACTTTTCCTCTGTGTGTAACAGCATATCTCGCAGCCTCCCCATGTCATTAGCAGCCCCCTGCTTGGATAAAGCAGCACATGAGGCATTGAACAGTGAGACACATGGTCAAAAGAAGCAACACACAGCAGCTCAAATCAAGTGTGTTTAAAGGCTGCTTTGACACACACACACACATAAAGTGGTGTCTCAGTCTGATGTCTCTTCCCTCTGTGTAGATCAGTCAAGCCTTGGAACATTGTCACTCCCTAAATATTGCACATCGTGACCTGAAGCCAGAGAACCTGCTCTTCAAGGATAACTCTCTGGTAGGTTTTAAAAGTGTACTACTGCTGATGCAACTGCTGATGCTTTTGCACTAATTAATCACACAACATCCAGTATATACTACCAGGGAAAAGAATCTTTGCCGGAAGGCTGCAGCCACTGCTTTACTTTTTGAGACACTGTTAGGAGGGAAATGTACTGGCTGTGTTTGGCAGAAATCGGAGTAATGTGGAGCAATATCTAATCTGCATTTGCTGTGCTACATTTCCAAACCCAACCTTTACTCTGGCAGCACCTTAGATGATTCCCCTAAAAACTAAATGAATTCCCTTTAAAACATTTTGTCAAGTAAAAGTCAAAACCACTGAGAGACCCCAACAAATGATCCTAAAATATGTTTCTGTGCTCGCTCAGCGTTCATGCTGCTCCCTCTGATCGTGTCTTTCCCGCAGGACGCACCTGTGAAGTTGTGTGACTTTGGCTTTGCCAAAATTGATCAAGGAGACTTGATGACCCCTCAGTTCACTCCCTACTACGTAGCACCTCAGGTAAAAAGCGAACGTAGAATTCAGCCAGAAATACTTTTTAAATGTACACGCACACAGATTTTTTTTTTAATGCAGCAATAATAAAAGCTTATGTTTCCATCATGCTGTTATTTCTGTTCAGGTACTTGAGGCTCAAAGAAGACACCAGAAGGAAAAGTCTGGAATTATACCTACCTCACCCACTCCTTATACCTATAACAAGGTGAGACCCAAACCTGTTGAACTAAGTATTTAGGCTTAGTAACAAGTATTGTTCCTCAAATTTAATTCAATGTAGTTTGCTAGGTTTCCTATAAATACCACTGCTGAATATCTTCTGTCTAATGCGAAATATTTTTACATATCATTCTTCAGAGCTGTGACTTGTGGTCTCTCGGTGTGATCATCTACGTGATGCTGTGTGGCTACCCTCCGTTCTACTCCAAGCACCACAGTCGAACCATCCCCAAGGACATGAGGAAAAAGATTATGACAGGCAGCTTTGACTTCCCCGAAGATGAGTGGAGTCAGATCTCTGAAATGGCAAAGGACATCGTACGCAAGTGAGTCTTCTTCTTCTTGCGTGCTTTGGTCTGGTTACCTCATCTTGCTATACTGCCCTCTTTGCAGCATGCCTCTCATTTCTAACAGCTGAACGGCATATTCGGCCAATTAGCTTGTGTAACAGTTTAATGTTGACATGTAAAAAGATCTGTGACATAATTTCACACTTCCTCATTAAGCTTTTTTCTGTCTAATAATTTGTACTCCCTTCTTTCCTCGTCTGCTCCTTGCAGGCTGCTCAAGGTGAAGCCGGAGGAGAGGCTGACTATTGAGGGAGTTTTGGCTCACCCTTGGCTCAACTGCACCGAGGCCCTCGACAACGTGCTGCCCTCCGCCCAGATGATGATGGACAAGGTGAGTGAGAATATGCAATATCTTGCATTGCACAAATGTTGTACTTTCATTCTGCTGTTTCTGAATGAATTGACCATCAGTCAGCTTACTTATTATAATATTCAGTATGTTGGCGTCCTCCTCCTCCTTTTCTTATGGTCTGTCCTCTTACCTGTCCAGGCGGTAGTTGCAGGTATCCAGCAGGCCCATGCAGAGCAGCTGGCCAACATGAGAATTCAGGATCTGAACGTCAGTCTGAAGCCCCTAAACTCTGTCAACAACCCAATCCTCAGGAAGCGGAAACTACTGGGGTATGATTGCTTTTGTTGAGGTTTTTGTGTCAACTTTTCATATGTTTTCTATTTGAAGTATAGATACGCACTTAAACTGATTATTGCACTGTTATGGTACAGTTGCTCAGTGAGGGTACGGTGAGAATGTTATTCTGATGTTTCTGCATTCCTATTACAGTGTGTTACTCCGTGTTTAATCTAAACTAAACTCTCATTCTCTTCAGTTACTATTGTGGTACTCTGACCGTACATGTACTCTATAGTCTTTGTTATTATGTATTTCAGGGATCCTTATATTTTTGTTTTGGTCTGAATTGTGTTTTGGTGTCCATGTTGCAGCCCCAAGCCCAGTGATGGTTTCTTCATTCACGACCCAGAGAATGGAGGAGAAGACTCCAACGTAGCGCTGGAAAAATTACGAGATGTCATTGCACAGTGTATACTACCACAAGCTGGTCAGTAAACCCACACAGAGATTTTAACTAACTGGATTAAAAAAGATAAACAACCAGCATTATAAATATTTTTGTTTGTGCAGGAGAGAACGAGGATGAGAAGCTGAATGAGGTGATGTACGACGCCTGGAGGTTCAACAGAGACTGTAAACTGCTGAGAGACGGCCTGCAGGGGCTCAGCTGGGACGGTCAGTACCCTTTCATCTGGTCTATATCCTTTCTATTACACAATTAACAGCAAAGCAACTATTTTACCTTTTGACATCTAAAGGCTGTTAGTTGTCTTCCTCGTGTCATTCATTGTTAATTTATCTGTCATAAACATAACTGTTGAATATTTTTTTCTTTTCCCGTATATTGATTGAGCTGTAATGCCTGCCAAAAAAACAAATCAGTTGCAGTTACAAAAACACAGCTCAGCTGTCCATATCAACAAATCAATAGGAAAGACCAAACATTACATTGCAGCTCAAACAGTGAGTGATACTTTAAGCGGTTTAAGTTCTAAGTTATTTTAAATGACTGAGTACTGATGGATTCATTCATTAATTGTTAATTCAACTGACATAAAATGAATGCCATTAATATGACAATTGATATGTTTTAAAGAAATTTTTCACAAAAAAATGCCAAACGTTCCTTTAGTTACAGATGTGAGAATATCTTTGTTTGCCTTGTGATTCACAAGGCAAATACAGGAGATTCAGATATTCACTTTACTATTTGTGAAACTGTAAAGAATATCTTGATTTGGACTGATCAAACAATTAGAAGATGTCACCTTTGTAAACTGTGAAAGCCTTTTTGATTAGTTTTTGACATTCTATCCAAATGATGAAATGGGAAAATAATCAGCAGATTAATATAACCCAAAATAACTGTACAGCCCTAATTATTGCTCTATTGTTCAGTACAATATTTAATATATTGTATTTTCTAAGGTTAAATCTTAATGGATAACGGCATTATATGAATAAAAACATGCAATAGGTTGGTGTGGATTTGTAAAGGAATAAAGTCTTGATCTCTTTTCCAGATCTTTAATCATGTACTCATTTATGTCTCAGTTGTTGTTGTTCATGTAGTTATCAGGTTCTTAACCACCAGATTTTTGTAATTGCAGGAAGAGCCTTCTCCGATAAAGTTGACCGCTTGAAGTTGGCTGAAATAGTGAAACAGGCCATCGAAGAGAAGACGAATCTTGAAGAATCTCATTAGCAAACGCTGTCTTTCTATCTTCTTTTTATATTGTTTATTATGACCCTTTTTAACCCATATCTGTAAAGAGGCTTTTTTATGTAAAATGATGCGCTAATTTTATGTTTTTTTCATGAATTCACTTGCAAGACCTATTGTACAGCTGTAGATATATTTCAAAGAGGACTCATTGGTACTATAATTTTTTTTTTAAATGGACACTTGCAAAGAACATTGAAAAAAAAAACTATATTTTCATTTTTGGAAAAAAAAGAGAAAAGAGAAAAATCAGTTAAAGAAATTATTTTCTGGGAGGGAATTTTTATTAGCTGCTTGTCCAAGACGTGTTTTATCCCAGTTATTTCATTTTATTCTATTTTGTTTTCTTTTAACTATCCTAAGAATTTTATTTATTTAAACAAAGAGTTCCATTATTTTATACCTTACTTGTAGCCTGGCAGTGGGCTCTGAAGTCAAGAGAAAACTGTCTACGATGTGACTTTGTTCTTCCACACACACTTTGAATCTCAGACTGCGTTTAAGTTATCTGAATCTTTGTTTTTGTGCAACTTTCCCTTGATCTTTTTGTTGTATAGAGGTCAAGGCAGAGTGGAAATGGAGAAAAGAAAGTGTCATGAAATAGAAAAATGCAGCCCCAAATTCATTTTGTCACAACCTTGTTTTTGAAGCCGAGAAGAGATGACACTAAATAGATCGAAGCAGACTGAAATGGCAGTCAGTACGACTGGGTTTCTTTCTGACTCATTAAGATCAATGTGATTTCACAAAAGAATCTTAACCTAAGGTCTACTTACTAGCTTTTTTTTGGAGCTTTTAACTGTCTCTCAGCCTTCTGTAGAAGATGAGTTTTTTCAGATCGTGAGATGCAGTTGAGAGCTCTGGTTGAGTTAAGACTTTGTCAAACTGTTTCAGAGGTCCAGCATGAACTTTTACGCTTATCTAGAGTTTAAGTCACACGCACGAAGTGATGAAACTGTTCGTCAACTTCTGAAATTTGTGCCTGGCAAGTAAAATGAAGTGAATTATTTCAAATATTTTCAAAAGGCTTTTTATACCTCTGTATGTCTTTTATACGGCCATTTCTGATCTGATTCTGAAAGTTCGGGTAAAGTTGTTGATCCGTGTAACTGACGCAATCTGAGCTGCTGCAACGTAAAAACGATATCTACTGGAATTCAGACCAGGGTCAGTTCATATTTAAGTCCTTTTAAAGCAAGAACGCTTTCTACTTGAGCCTACAGAAACACAAAAAAATACACCTGGCATTTTTGGTGCAATGTAATCAATGTATTTATGCCAGAAAAGATCAGTAGAAAGGTTTTCAGCATCCATAAACAGATGTGTTAAGGATTCCAGTCACATAAAAACATGCTCTGCTACTGAATGTGCAATAGGGCAATAACTTAATCATGTATTCATAGTGCATGCATGTACATGGTAGTGAGATAGTGTGTATCAATCTGTCAGTATTACTGTCTGACCTTCCCAACTTCATTTCAGTGGTCTGAATGCCAGCAAATGCTCCCTCCCTTCACTCACCCTCATCCTTAAGTTGTAATTAATATCATATCATTGATTAGCCAGAGTGAAATTTCCATTGCACTGTTTTACTCGAGTGCTCCATCATATCTGATATTATTTCTTCAGAGAGGGGTTGAAAGAAGGGATTTGTGTTCAGGTGTTTGAATGACAGGTGATGTTCAGTCAACAGAACAGGGCTTAGATGGCCGAGAATCCAAGTTCTCTTGTTCAGTGCCTGATTATTTCTTTAATAATGTTTTTTTTGTTGTTGTTGTTTATTTTAAATAATCCTCAGAAGTTTATGAAATTCCACTTTGGCGAGGTTTTAGCTTTATATACAACATATTTTTATGTTAAGATTACTGCATTAACCACGTTATTGACCTTTTTTATGAAAAGATACTGTATGTCTATTCTGAATAATTAGTAAACATTGGTGCAATATATTGTTTCTGTCCAGTGAAAAACTTGTATCTCCAATTTTTGGTGATTTGAACATTTTGAGATAAACTGAAGGATCAAATGTTACTTTATGGGATTGAGAAATTCTACTTTTTAAGCTGAATAAACCATTTTAAAAACCAAGTACATTATCTTTTTGCAAAGTTACAGCTAAAAATAGAGCTGATTATCTTACATTCTGACATTTTGGAGACACAGGACAGTGGCAATATGTAAGCTGATCTTTTTCACCATTTTGTAACTCATATGAAGAAAACGTGCAAGGCTGTCTGTATATGTATGTCTGTATTTCTTATTTAAGTTGAGCAAAGGCAATCATTACTAACATGATTCTGAGAGATCATTTTGTCTGTCACAGTCTCCCTTAAAAGCTTGATGATAACCATGGCTTGTGTTTTAAAAAGGCCTTATTAATATATGGCTAAGTTTTACACACAAATGTGCCTTGTTGATGGGGCGGCATCTTCATCCTTTACTGCTTTTATCAATGAAAATGAATTACAGGATGAAGGGTAAACCATAGACTGTATAACTGGGGGGACTCAGAATCATTGTAAGTTGTGATTGTCCTTTGGACTGTGATATGCTTGTTTTGGTGTGAGTTTTCATTCCCCAATTCGGTGTATTGGGTTGGTAAGATTTTGTTGAGATTCATTTAGCATCATATTTGGGGCGAAAATCTGTTCTCCAAAGGAAGTGATTCATTTATTGTCTTGTGTCTTAAGATGACCCTTTATTTCACCACTGGCACATTAAAGAAATAGTTCACCATTTTGGCTTTAGATAATAAGCTTAACACCACTCCTGTCTGTCTATTAAATATGAAGCTAGCTAGCGGTTAGCCACAGTCAGCAGCCGCTTAGCTTAGCTTAGCATAAAGACTGGAAACGGGGGGAAACAGCTAGCCTGGGTCTGTCAAGCGGGAACAAAATCCGTCTACAAGCGCTTCTATAGCTCGTTAACATATTATATTGTAATTTTTTTAATTACTGCTCAGAAATGTTTAAAAAGTGAATACACTGCTCAGTTTTACAGCGTGTATGAGCGGGGCGACTATTTTCTAACCTTGTAACTTCCTGGATTGTTTGCTGGTTGCCTGGCAACGGGTCCCAGCCACAAAATAGTCCACACAGTCCTCCTAAAATCGGCTAATTGTGGTTTTTAAACTTCAGCTTTTGTACATATTAAACAAAAGAGATAAAAACTGGCCGATTAGTGAGCTTTTAGATGTATTACTACTTTTATATTTAACATACAGTAGGGGTGAGTGGTATCAATATTGTCTACTCCGCCAAATGTTGACCTTTTGTTTTAATGTCCTGCGATCAAGTTTGTATTTTTTTGTTTTGTCGGATCATAGATTTTGTAGCACAACACACCAAACGTACAGTATTGCAGAATCAGCAGAGCTTCTAACTAAAAGTGGAGCCTAATGGCATTGTTTTGTTTTGACCATGTCTGTGTGGATGTGTGACAGTGTGTTATTAATTTATGTGTGTGTGTGTGTGTGTGGTTCAGTATGCTGAACCGTCTTTGTATTTCTGGAGGCCTATCAATAAATCAGTGCTGCTTCCTTTAAATCTTCCCCACCCACAAATAACAGCATTTATATCCTCTGCTCCCTGAGTGAGCATTGTGGTTGAAGGGTAGTGTATGTATTAGCATTTTGTACTGTAAACTCAAGGCATGTATCTTGATACTCTTTAACAATGAAAACCCCCAAAGGGACACATAGTCATTATCAGACACCATTTAGCTGCTGTTTGCTGCTCAGTGTAACTAAAGAAAAAAACCCCACAGAGGTCAGTTGGTTTTGAAGATGCTACCATTATTACTGAGTACTACTGCTGCACGATGCCCCCCACATTGGCATTCAGGCTAACCCAGCTTAAGACATATTTCACAAATATTAAAGTAGCTTCCACTTCCTCCCTTGCATCTGCTCGGTGAAGAGTGACAAGATTTCTTGTTTTATACAAGCTCTCTCAACATGGATGCTGACTGAGGAGAAATAACAGTGTCCTTTTATTTTTTTTTTTAATACTAACTCGTTAAAAATGACCTGAAAGCCAGAAATGGCTTTGGTCAGCACTTCTACTCGTGATAAATACCAGTTGCTTCCGTTTCCCCCTGCTGTATCCGCACTCAAAGTACAGAGAGGTGAGTTTTATATGTTTTGGTAAAGGTTGCTTCTTTGGCTCTGGCATCGAACAGATGTAAAGAGGGAGAAGAATTTATTTCACCTGAAGTAGCCATTGCTGTTTATGTTGAAAAGTCAGGGAGGAGTTTTAGAGGAAAGGAAATAATTTCAAAGTTTGGAGCCGTTTACTCTGCTTTGTTAGTCTTTTTTCTCTGCTCAGGCAGTTATGTAGCATGTACCTGAATCCCTCATCAAAGACTCGCTGTATTTCTGTCCACGCATCAACTTTTTGCCCTTTCTGTCTTCTTTGGAATGTCA